TGGCAACTATGCGGAGACATAGGCTCAACACTACACATATTATGGTCATGCAAGTCAATTAAATTCTTTTGGAAAAGTGTCTTCCAACTAATCTCTGAAATAACCCAAACAGAGATAACCGCAAGTCCTTCACTCGCGCTTTTACACATCGGGATTGAAAAATTCCCTATACCTCTCGTACCATCATTGTCCACATACTTTTCGCAGCAAAAATCACTCTAACCAAGTTATGGAACACCACAACTGCTCCTTCCCTCAAATCACTAATTACAGATCTTAATTTCCAATGCGAAATTGAAAAAAGATCTGCCTTCAACAACTCCACCCAATACAAATTTAACTCCCAATGGACTAGCTGGTTACAACATCCTAATTGCTCAGTACAAGCCTGATTTTGTACAAACAATTGAACTACCCACCCATTTTAGACTGGTACTCCTCTCTCCTCTCACCACCCAATTACAATTTCCCCCTCCTCTCCCTACCTTCTGCCTTATCCCCCCCTGTTTAACACCCCTTTACCATTTCCTACACCTCACCAAGGTTCAGTATATATTCAAGTCTACCTCTGATGCTATTGCCTTACTCCTAAGTTTGACCACAGCCAAATAGTGGGGTAAACCCATTCCAATACTGTATTGTATGACTGCAATTTCTACTGAACTGAACGTCATTATTACGTTACTTTGTTATTGAAAATCTTCAATAGAAATATTGAAATTAAGTATTCCACCTAGTTTTTATTAGGGATGAGCTTGCATTTGTTCAGAACTGCGTTCCGGTCTGGACCCAGAAGTCAGCTGTCATTCCTTGTTCAATGAACTGAAGCTAGGGGATTCCCTGCTCCACAGCTGATGTATACTAAGGAGCAGGGATACTCATGGCATCTGGCCATGTTGCTGTATTAGCTCAATGATGTCATGCGTATCTCCACCCAAAGGACAACTGGGCAGAGATAATATCATTCAGTCCAGGTAAATGACATGTGGTTTCAGTCCACAATAGGGCTTGAGCTGAGTGCATTTTTTGGTGGGTCATTTGGTATTTTTGTCTACTTGCAAGGTCTTTAAAAGGGTTTAAACACGGGGCAATATTCATGTTTTTCAGAGATGTATGTCATAAGTTTTTATTTTAATTTATTTTGCCACAACATACACATAAAAGGAGAAGCATGGAATTAAAAACAAATCTGCCCCATCAGCTGATAGAGGCAATAGCCCACTATCAGCTGACTCTGAGCCACAGGAGGACAACATTAAAGGCTAAGTTCTCCTTCTAAAAAAAAAAAAAATGTTTTCTATTTTTGCAGGTAAAAAAATGTGCATTTATTATTATTTTTAAGAGCCTTCAGAGCATTGCACTCACGGTCAGTGAATCGCTGGTGCAATGTCAGACTCCTGCACACACTCAAAATAAAATACAAAGAAAACCACACTCGTGTACAAAAATATAAAATAGTAGATGAATGAGCTGTGGACACACTAAGGGATATCTCCCTAATTAGCAAAGTGCTTAAAACAACAAATTGATCAATTAAAAAAACATTTTTTTTTAAAAATATCCAATTCATAAATAAATAATTATATAAAAAATATCCAATTCATAAAAAACTATCACTCTAATACCATTAGACATATAAAACGTGTGTTGTGAAAAAAAAGTCCCTGAATAGCTCAACGAAGAAAGTCCACTAAGTGTGATGGAAAAAAACACTTCCAAGAATAGTGTCAAAGTGAATCCTAAACTTTCACCAAAATAGTCGCAAGATGCAGGCTTACCAAATGGGCATGACCCCCTAATTAAAGAGAAGTCACACAGCACGGCCAGTAATAATAGTTATCTATGGCGTTTTTCCCACTTTTCCTCAGAATCATCAGGCACTCGCTGTCTTCTTGGCCGCTGCCTCCAGTCTTCAACTGCTTTGATTCAGGGAAGAAATAGACAAACAAATGTCCCACATAGTGTAAAAAATCATCTAGTACCTTTATTTGTTCAAGTATCACACTTACACATAATAGAAAAATAATTATGTATTGAAAATATCAATCCAGCTGGCAAAAAACAGCAACTTCTGGGTCACTTTTGGTATGCAATTATGTCAGTAAATCGCTCCGCTCTACATGTTCTGACGTAAAGGACGTCTCCTGGGGCATGGGCATCATGCTGTGTCACTGCACTAAGACACATAGGGCATGGGCGCCATGCTGAAACGGAAAGACCATCTAGTTTGACCAGTTAAAAAAAAAATAGTTACATATTTAGTTACATAGCTTACATGGTTACTTAATAATTAATGAGCACTCTCCAGTTTTAACAATTTTGCACATAATTTTTTTTAAAGCTTATTCAAGTAATCAACCATCTTTTTAACTTCCTTAGCGGTATTCCCGAGTGTAGCTCGGGGTAAAATGTCAATACCAAAAGCGGTAACCCCGAGCTACACTCGGACTTACCCTGCAGTGTTGCATAGGGAGTCCCTGCAGCACTTACCTTGTCCTTCGCTCCCGCGATGTGTCCCCTGCAGCATCCCCAGCCATCTCCTCCGGCCGATGCCGACATCCGGCTTCCGTGTTCCGGTCCCTGTGACGTCGGGACGTATGGCGGCAAATTTGAAATTTTGATTATTACATAGTAAAACATTATTGTTTCAATGCATTTCACATACATTTTGTCCCGAGTGCTTTGTCCTGTGCCCTGCCTGCATTTTGACTGTTCTTTCTGCCTGGAAACATAGAAAAGTCCATGGCGTCCAAAAAGCATCCCTTTACGTCAAAAGCGGTTTTAGACCAGCTAGAGAACAGCGATAGTAAATCAGAACCACTTGCAGAATTGAGTGATAATGATTCGTGGGGAAATTTGTCATCAGACACTGAAAACAATTTTGCGACTTTGCTCAGCGATGTGCGAATTTGCCTCTGTATTTCAAACTTCAGTGTTTTTGGTTTGATTATATTATTGAATTAAATTTATTATTATATTATTATTTTTTATGATTATTTATTAAATTATAATTGATGATTTTGTGTTTCAAATTTTATCATACCCGGGATGTTTACTAGACTCTTGTTCGTACAGATTTCAGGGAGTTATTCCTAAAAATTACAGCCTACAATAAAAAACTACATATTTCCATGCAAAAAAAATGGTGCCGCTTTCAGCACAAAAAATCGGAAAGAATCATACCGCCGAGGAGGTTAATTCCTGAATTTGACATTTTGGAATCATACTATTTTTAACCATTTGCCCACATATTTCATTGACTTTACCGCAGTTATAAAAAGGTGAATTTACAATGTACACAAAAAAATTGAAATAATTTTCTTAATTTGTTGAATTTAGAGATTGCCTTTTTCAAAATCATCAAAATTTTCTAAATGTACAGTATGTTGAGATTAACAGCAAGCTACAGTACATTGAACAAAAAACAGGGAAAAATGCATTGGGGTTGATTTAAGAAAGATGTAGAAGATGTTCGCAAAGTTAATGTTAGTAACTACGATGAAGCTGCATTCATTTTGGATACCCAATTATTTGCAAGGTGAATTAAAGATTTTTCGCTAGCATATGATTGGGAATCCAAAGCAAACACTTAATTCGTTATGTTCATCCACATTAATAGACAAATTGTTTTTATCCCTTTAGTAAATCAAATGGACTGAGGTTTATTTACTAAAGATGTAAAAGCTGTTCACTTAGCAAAGGTAATGTTCACTTTGTAAAATGAATGTTGGTAAATAAGGTGAAGCCTTGTTCACTTTAATCGCCAATCATTTGTGAGGTAGTTTAGGACCAATGGATTTTTTCTAACACATTATTGGGTGTTCAAAGTGGACCAATATTTACTTTATTTACTAACATTCACTTTGTGAAGTGAACAGCTTCTACTCCTTAAAGTAAATTTTTGGCAAAATAATAAAAAAATGTTCTGCTGATATTATATTGGTTCTTTTGCTATAGATACAAGGTATTTTTATGTTATTGCATTGTATGTTTTAGGTATAGCTTTTGTTTTACGTAATAAATAATAATTGCCTGACATTATTTTTTTTTTCTTTTTCATCTTCCAACCCTCCCACTTCATCTGCGGGCAGAAGATGAAAAGACAGAAACTGAATGTGTCAATTTAAATATTTCCATAGAAAATTAAAGCGTTGATCACCCATCACTGAATAATATTAGGAGGTGGTGGAGGACTGGAACAAATTAAACTCACTTTAAAGATCTGTCTCAGGGTGACACTTTCCACATTAGCGCTTACTGCCAGTAAATGTGCTAATAGGGAAATATTTGACACATTTTTTTTTTGCTACAATAAAGTAACCCTTTGAAATAAAGCATTGTTATATGTGTAATATTAATATATAAATTCTCTCCATGTACCTTTAATTTGCCTCTAGAAGGTGTGCTTATTGTATTCTAACAAAATGTATGAGTATGTAGGCTTGAGACTGACCAATCAAATCACAGTGAAGACAACATGGCTGACCACATTACCTGGCAAAATTGTGTTTCAAGTGGTATTGCAAAATGTCTTAGGAGTTTAAAAGAACTGAATGTAAAACTGTGTGAACAATTGCTTTCAATATAGATACACATGATTATAGCTTATATAATAATTATATATTAAATTTACAATTATATAATGTAGATGAAATATACAATTCACAGTTGCATTTTTTTCCTATATTTCTTTAAAGTGTAACTCCACTTTTTTGAGGAAAAAAATCCTTTGGTGTGCTCTATATACATTGCAAAGATTTAGCACATTTTGTTGGCGATCCCTACCTTTCTTGGTTCTTCAGAAATATCTATTTGGTATTTCCCGAGTGATTCCTTTTGGTAAAGCTACCTGAGCAACTCTCAATCTTCTGAAGAAACCTGCAGTGGTTTAGTGGGCATAGATTGTATCTTGTATAGAATGTATCTTGCAGCTGAGAAAACCAGTGAGACAATTGGGTTTAATTTATTAATTCAAATAGACTGTGCAAGCAAAATTATGACTTCTTATCTCCCTTGCATGCTATTGGCAGGGGCAGACTGACCATTTAGAAACTTGGGCACTGCCCGAGGGCCCTGGGTCAGTAAGGGGCCCCATGAGATGCCCCTGGTACCTTTTTCATAGGTTTTTTTGAGTTTGGGCAAGGACACAGGGGCCCCATGATTCCCTATTGCTCGGGGGCCCCATGAGTTGTCAGTCCGCCCCTGCCAGTGTATGTGTTGTTTAATAAACACTGCCGTTCTTTTCCTCTTCCAGCTTCTGCTAGCATCACTCTTCAGGCTACTAGAAAGGTTCCAGACGAAGTCCAGTAGGTATCACTCCGACACAGGGGCCCCATGATCCCCTATTGCCTGGGGGCCCCATGAGTTGTCAGTCCGCCCCTGGCTATTGGATATTCTTTGCAAAGTGAAATTTCACCAGATTCACTAAACTCTGTAGGAAATTCCATTGCGAAGTTCAACTTCTCTTCACAAAGTGACCAGCCTTTTTGCCTTTAGTAAATCAACGCTAGACTCCTCCAAGAGTGGGTTCTGGCCAGCTCAGTGGATTGCTTTAAAAAAGTCCTGGATTCTTTCTTGGATTCACAGAATATAACTGGATACTAACATTTATAGGTAAAGTTGATCCAGGGAAATATCTGACTGCCTCTCGGGGGATCAGGAAGGAATTTTTTTCCCTGCAGGAGCAAATTGGATCATGCTTTGCTGGTTTTTTTTTGCCTTCCTCTGGATCAACTGTGAGTGTAGAATTATAACTTTTTTATTTTTTAATGGTTGAACTGGATGGACTTTTGTCTTTTTTCAGCCAGACTAACTATGTAACACCAATAACAACCAAATGATATTTTTGGAGATATTCCCCTTTCTCAAAGCCAGCCCCACAGCCTCTTTTTTTTTTTTTTTTAAAGAATCCTATACATACCTTAAAGTAAAATTCCAGCTTACACAATTAGTCCTAAAACTGTCCCCTCCCCCTCCTAAAGCCTATACTAGCTAACCTGCACAAGAAAGATGTATATACTTACCTATTTTTAGGCCTCTCTGGTCCAGTCTCATGATCTTCCCTGTGTCAGCCAGGGCCAGCTGCAGTTTAGACTAGAGAGCACCCAGCAATGGCTGATAAAGCCTGTAACGGTGATGTCACCCATAGGCTTCAATGGCGCATCCTTTGTCAGCACTTCCTCCTCTTTCCGGCAGCTACTCTGGGTGACACCGGGGAGCCAGATCACGTGACTGCACTGGAGCAGCCTGAAAATACTGTAGGTAAGTATATGCTGGTCCATCGTTTTTATACAGGTTGATAAGCATAGATGTTATAGAGAGAGGTCAGGTTTTTTTTTTTAAATTAAGTACTTTTTTTTCTATTTTTGTTATTTAAAACACAAAATTGAAAGGAAGAGATAGATACCGTGCATTCCAGTTACAGACCACAATGATGCAATACACATCACAGTCACAAAAATCAGCAGACACTAGAAGAGTATAAGGTGTAACACAGTACTGTAAAAAGGTCACGGGTAAGTTGAGACTGACTAAGAATAACCTAGTACCACAAAAATACATATAGTAACTTGGTATAATAGGTTACAGCAAATCAAAACTAGTAGAGGTGTGATGAGCAGCAAAAGTAACAGAGGCATCCCCATAGTCCAACCAAGGAGACCACAATATGTAGAATTTATTTGGGCACCCTCTGTGCTAATACGTCAACTTTTCTCTGTCAAGAATGTTCTGGGCAACTTGTTTCTATTGATGGAACCATGGAAGAGTAGGAGAAAGATGTTTTTGGGCCACTAATTTGCAGGCTAGAAAAAGTAAATATGTAACTAATCATTTGAGCATCTGGGACATTGATCCCTCCAGGACAAAGTTTAGAAGTGGGAAGGGACAGTTTTAAGGCTAGTTAGGTGTAAGTTGGAATTCTACTTTAAATCCTGAAGCCAGTTCAGTGATGTCATAGGTCTTCCCTCTTTGTCATTGATTGTAGTGTTCATGTTCCTGGACTGAACCACGCTGATGTAATAACCAAGGAGTGCCTTTCAGTCCTGGAATGCTGGGACCCAGGCTGTGTGGGTTTGTGCCCCCATGACAGCACGGACCCCAAGCAAGTGGGTTGAATGACATTGACCGTCAGTCAACCCTGAAGACAAGTCACTAGTTTTGAACTTGTTAAACAACCATATCCTAGAAAATTAAAAAAACAAACTTCCTGATAAGACCATAGATTACAAAGTCTGGGATTTAGTAGGAAATATAATGTTATTAAAAGCAGCAATATTTCTTTTTTATCTGAACAGAACAAAATTTTTACAATCAGAAAGCTTGAGGTGACTAAGTACCAGGAGCCACCTTGATTTTTATATGACACGTGTTTGGCTCTGATCCCTTCTGTGGCAGAGGAACAGATCACTCCAGTTTCCAGGGAGAATTGATAAGACGGAACTTTCCCCTGTGTGATAACAAGAGTTTTTAACTGCTAGAAGTTCTCATTTTTTTTTCTTGAATAAACTTAACATCAACATATCAACATCAACCTTGTCTCCCAGATGAGCTCTGATTTCCCTAACATTCTCACCTAGAAGAAGGTCACTTCCTCTAGCCTGTAGGGGGCTACTTCCCGTGTCGGCAGCATCCTAGGACTGCCCCTGATGTCATGTGGCACCGTACATGCACCCGCCATGGTTGTGCACTGGGCGCCAGCGTGGCATCGTGATGTTACGTTTTTGTGACGGGTGTCAGCGGTGGATGTCAGGGGAGGAGATCTCCCTCATGGACGCTGGGGTGGCCACATTGAGATGCCATTTTTGGTGCCATTGGTAGTATTTCCGCTTCATCTCTTTCTTGGCAGCACAGGTTCATCGGATGACCCTCTGATAAGACAATCATCTTTAATTGAGATCCATATATGTACAGCGCTGAGCAAACCTTTTGGCGCTATATAAATACTGTATAATAATAATAATAATATATGTTCGATGTATTGTTGTAGCTGGATTGGCTTCCTGTTCTGAGGGTGGTTCGCTGTGTGATCTTGATGGTTTGGTGAACACTAAATTTTTGCTTTGTTGGTGATGAGAGGTATTTTTTACTATGGGAAGTCCTGTCAGTACTCTCATGGTTTTGTTGATTCCTTATTATAGACATAGAACCTGGACACAGCTTTTGTCTACTGAGATTTGGAATATCTCTATTTCTCTACACCTCAGTAAGCATTATGGATAGTTACAACAGTGATTTTTTGTATCAATATAGGCAACATATTTGACATTTTTTGATTTGCATTATAGATAAAACAATTGCTTTAAATATGTGGTTCTGTGAGATCTGTGACATCTTCCCATAATAGCAGTAAGCACTTTAGTTCCGTGTGCTCATCTACTTTGTTCTCAATATGGTTAGTCTTGTTTTTATAGATCTATCAGAATATAAATTTTTAGACATGTCCAATTAGCCTTGTATCTCATTTACATTATATTTTCTATGATGTTTATAGAGGAATATTGAGGGTGATTTGGTGTTCCCCAGTTGCTGGCAGCCATAAGATGGATATCTGACCACCTTTGCTCTTCTTGAGGTCCATGCCGTTGAGGCCTTGGAATATGCAATCTCATCCTGGACACCATTATTTTATAATTGCTCTGATTAATGCCTGTTTAATTCTTTTGTAAGTGTCATTATGGCAATTACCTCAATGTCATTTACCTATTATCCATGTGTACATTATAATTTACCTCTATATGTCTATTTAGAAATCCCTCTTGTATCCATGCACCCTGAAGCAGATCAAAATATGATCGACACACGTCGGGGTAGTCTCTCTTTCTTTGGGAGTTTTTTTCATGTTGTGAAGGAAGTATCTTGTAGTATTGTCAGAGTCAATGTTCTCTAAAAAATATGTATCTTTTATGTTTATGGAATAAAGCATGTATCTTTTTTAAGGAAGTTATTATGAGTATATGTACTATTGTCACTGCATTAAAGTCCCATACAGGGGGGCCCTTCATGTGGAAGAATGAGGAGGAAGCCAGTTTAGGTACCAGTATGGTTTTTGAACGAAACCCCATAAAAACATAGGGAAAACATGTACAAACTCCATGAAGATAACATGCTTGGTTAGGTTCAAAGACAAGGCTCAGAACTGCAAAGCAATCGAACTAACCACTTAGCCACCATCTAACACATCATAAATAGATGACACAAGCAATGACCGTGTTCAGACAGGCTTACACACACTATATGGTCTAAATCTTAGTTTTAATCAGTCTGCTGTAGGCCAAATCAAAGGCTTACCACAGAGGAAGTAAATCATTTTCCATCAACCTTCCCTAGCCAAGTACATTTTTAGGGCCCATTCACACTGTTCTGTGCACATTGATGTACAGTTTTCATTTCCAATAATTTTTATTAAAAAACCATATGAGATACAAATGATGAACCATCAAAGTTTCACATGTAAGCATCAAGAATCCAACGTTTTACAATGATAAAAATGCACAATCCTGCTTGATGTGTAGAAATAAATGTATTGATGTGGCATTGTATTGGGCAGTTGTTATTATACACACACCCGTTGACTAAAAGACACTCGACCCAATTCTTGCCAATGCAATGCACTGAAACACAGCACATGTATTCACATGTATGCACTGTGTTGTGTTGAAAAATCAAGTGCATTGTTTGTTGCACTCTTGCTTTACAGAGACCCTATAAGAATGGGAACACTTCCCCAAAACATATGAACAATTCATTTAAACAACAAGCACACATAGGTGCAGAGTCTGCCATTGTAGAATCTTCCCCTTGGCTGTAACAAACAATAAAAAATAAGTATTTACTTGTTTTATATAAACCACTTGCCATCCACCCACAGTAATTTTGGTACTTCGCCTGGCACATGTGCACTAGTGCACCCTCATGAATGCTCTTTCTGGTGTACACAGCGGACCATGACGCTCAGTACCAGGCCACTATGAGTGGCCAGGGCATCATGTGATCGCTATGACCAATCATGGCAAGCGCATTATATTTATGTAAGAAAACTGTCATGAGTGACTTTCCATTCATGACAGCTTGATTACTGTTGTGATGCTGTGATTGGCCCACAGCTATTACATGTAATTACCATGTAATTAGCTGTAGTCAAATACAGCATCAAACTAGTAGCAAGCTGTCATGAATGGAAAGTAATTCATGACAGCTAAAACTATTGCTTATAACAGTGATTATCACTGTTATAAGCAATCACAGTGTAAAAAAAAAAAATCCTGATTACCCCTTCCCCAGAGTAGTACAGTGAAACAGAATTACCTGGATGGAAAAAAAAAAAGAGAGGAATAAAAAATTATTTAATTTAACAACACTGTCAAAAGTCAGTATCCGTGATCTTCACCACACCAGTCATATGATGATGCTGTACTGCACTGGTGACAGTATGTTAAACAAATTGTGAAAAAAACCCACATTTTATTGAATTTTTTAATTTTCCATAAAATTGTGGCAAAAAAAATTACAACTTCAAAAAACTTGCCATACCTCTTTCTAAATACCTTGGACTATCTACTTTCCTAAAAGGGGCCATTAGGGGGGTATTTGTACTGTCCTGGCATTTTATGGCCTGAAGACATGAGACAGGTCATCAGTACACCAGGATTGATCACTTCTCAAACATATATACCATACTTGGTAACAAACGTAGCAGAATACATTTTGGCCAAAATTTATGAAGAAAGCTATAATATTTGTTTGCAAAATTTTATAACAGAAACTTATAAAAATGTGATTTTTTAACTTTTTGTTATTTTTTTATTTATAGAGAAAATAATTAAAAACCCAATGGTGATTTAATACCACCAAAAGAGAGCTCTATTTGGAAAACAAATGATAGAAATTTCATTTAGGTACAGTGTTCCATGTCCGAGCAATTGCCAGTTAAATTAACACACTGCTGAATAGTAAAAAATGCCCTGGTCATGAAAGGGGTAAAACCTTCTGGAGGTCAAGTGGTAAATCGATTTATATAGCACTGAGAAGAGAAACACAATTTAAAGCTATTTAAGGTATGCATGTCAATAAAATTTTAATTTAAAAAAAAAGCTGCCAAAAAAGAGCATTACTACTAACCCGTCTTGCCTGCCCAGTGTCTTGGGTCTTCCTGCTCTTCCAGATCTCACCCAACTGAAGAATCTTCAACATCTGACACATTTCCAGAACGGTCAGATGCCTGGTCCTCCAGTGTGTGCAATGATTCCTCCCGCTGACCCTCTGTCATACATTGCACTTTATGGGCCATTGGATTGAACCACAGTGTGCAGCAGGAGATACGGGCATCCGAAACACCGAAAGTGTGGGAAGCTGAAGATTCTGTTGGATACAGTAGCTCTATAAGAGAGTGAAGTCCAAGGCAGATAATTATTTTAATGTTTACAGTGTTTACAGTTTTTCTTCATTTTCAAACTTCACTTTGATAGGCTGCCATTGAATTCCTTTTCTAAATGCTACTTGTCTGGCTATATCTGGTGTCAATACTTGCTAAATCACAGACCCAAAACATATTCCTCCACAGCCACAAAGGCTCCAATTTGTGTGCACCAACTACCTTTGCAAATCTGATATTACCTTGTAAAAGTAGCAGTGACATCAATACTGTATTGCACATAGCTTGTGCAAAAAAGCAGAACTGTTGATGTGTTTTAGGAGGTCCACCCACTACTGGCTGCACTCAGAAAACTTCAAGTAGGTGGATACAAGACCAGTCACCCTGCACAGGAAGAGAGAGCAGCAGTGACCGGTCTCTAAAACAGGAGGTACCTGCACAGAGGAGTTGTTCCATGTTGGTTTTCCGCACAGATCTGGAAGAAATACACAAAGCACACCAAGTAAAAACACACATGCTTGTATTAAGGCTTGGTTCACACCTTTACAGGTACAACCGAAAGTGTGCTTTCCACCGCAATGCATGTAGGGCAGTCCATTCATTTCAGTGGGCTACCCTACGCATGCAAAACACAGAAAACACCCTCACTCTTCTCCAAAAACTGCTGTGGGTTGGCGTGCACAAAAATACCCCCATTCGCAGATGCATGGGGTGCCATTAACTACTAATGACACTGCCTTGTGTCTACTAAAGTGCAGCAAGTATTTTTTCATGTTGGGAAAGTGCAAGTTTTTGCCCACATTCCTAACATGCAAAGGTGTGAATGTAGCCTTAGTTAGTATTTGTCCAGCCTGAAGTTCAGCTTTAAACAAGATAAAAAAGGAAATTAAATGTTTTTATGGTTATTATAGGCTGGAGCCAAGTGATCTACTCTTTAATACTGGGATTGACTTACTAAAGGCAAATAGATTGTGTACTTTTCAAGGGCATTTGCTTCAGAGCTTAATAAATGAGAAGCTTCACTTTGCAAAGTATACCCAATCACATGCAAAGAAAATTTAGAAAATACATTTTTTTCTTGCACATCCTTCCCCATATTTTCTAAGGTCTGGAACAGAGTGCAACTGCACTTTTGCCTATATTTTTCTTTGGAAAATCAACCCCACTGTGTCATTACTGAAGTTGGACAGTGTTCTGTATGACTCTTACAATATGTGGAGGGAAGTGAGCCTTTGACTTCACGGTTAAATAATCATCTACAAAGAGACATTGCACATCACCTGATCATATGTACATTGTCTGGTGATGTAATACTGGTGATGGAGTTTATGGTTTGGCAACTTGGCCCAAATAAAAGAGGAAGAAAAACTGGGAATTTGACCAAGTCACATTTTGATCCGGATTAATGTTTTAAGGGAAAATGCACTGTTTTCCATAGAGCCCAAATTTTAATTTTTGATGTGACTTTCAAATGCCATATTTTTATTAATGTTTTGAACATAGAGAATTGTGGATTGACCACTAGCGAGAGCTTTGTTATAACTCACCCAAGTTCCCTGTTCAAAATGGTTGCACAACCACCCACACCCACCCAATTTGTGCTTTCATTTTAAAGAATCTAAGAGTAAAAAAATGACCTGAATCCATTGTCATGTGAATCTCAGCATTGCCTCTTTGGGTAGCCACAAGTCGTGGTTGGAAACTGCTCTTCATTTATGGGGAAATGTGTGTCTGATATTGGAAGGAGGCATCCAAGTATTCAGAGACATTGTGAGCACAGATCTGAGTGAAGGATCCTAATGACTATGTACTGCTACTATCCCCTGTACATCAGTGCCAGAGCTTGCCTTTGTTGGGGCACTTATTATGGTGTCTCAGCGTTGCTCATTCCCTTTTTTGCTGCTGGAAGGACCATACTAAGAAGAATGTCCTCATTTTACTACATTGTGCTACTTCAGTATCCCACAACTCCCCTGAATCCACTCCAGGTTCAGCCTACAATAAAGCATCAAAAAGATATCCCTAGACTGTTCATTGAGCCAGAAGAGTGACAGTTGGCCTGACTGCCACTGCACTAGCTTGAGGAAAGAACCTGGGGAAAAACAGCAGGCCCCTTTGGGGGTGAGAGCTACAGGTGTTTTTTATTTAAACAATTGCAGAGCTGTTCATCCTGTGAAACAGGAGGGGGGTGAATTACTAAAACTGGAGAACAGAGAATCAGGTGCAGCTGTGCATAGTAACCAATTATTTTCTAGGTTTTATTGCCAAACCCTTATTGAACCAGCTGACGTTATAAGCTGATTGGTTCCTATGCACAGCTGCACCAGATTCTGAGTGCACCAGTTTTAGTAAATCTCCCTCCCCAATATGTACATTTGTTCTGTGCAAAAGCTGGCTAAATCAAAACATTATTATACTATTTTGTCTCCAGAATGGATGCTTTATTCCTAAGAATAGCATGAATTAGAAAACACTGTATTGTGGCCACTAGATGGAGCTGACAATCATAGTAGATAAGCATTTTATCCTCTGATCCTCAGCTCCCTCTAGTGGTCATAATGCAGTATTTTCCAGATTCACACTATTCCTATGAAATACGAACATGTGACCTTGAAAGAAAAAAAAGCCTAGTAACCTTCAATTTTGCTGGCATTGACACAGAACGAATGTACATTCAGTTTTACATGTTGACTAGATCTGAAATTTTTGTTTTTTTTTTTATAAATTTGAACCCCAAAATGTGCTGTGGCTTCACAGTCATTGGAGCATATGGTGAAATCTGGGTGATGTCTTAAAGAATATGGCTTATAGTAACACACGGGAGACTGAAAGGTTGAATTGTAAATGAATCATCATTAAAATTAGTTTTTGTGAACTGAACAAGATAACTGCTGCTCTGTGAAAATGTTATGGACTCAGCAAATGGAAATGCAAATAAAATGCCATCGTCATAAACAGTCATTATCATTCAGTTTTCTTTAAAGCAGTAGTACATTTTTTAAATAAACAAAAGCACAACATACTAACACATTAAGGCATACTTACCTAGAAATGAAGCCCTTCAGCGGCACGCTGTCACCATGGACAGGGCTTTCATCTTCACCCAGGCTTCCTTCCAGGTTCACGGGCACTGGTGATTTGCATGGTCGAGCTGTGATGACGTCACTCCCAGAAGTCACGACACAGACCTCTGAAGGGATGGCATGTAGTGCCCATGAACCGGTGACATCCCCGGTTGTTTCCAGTGTGAATATCTCCTAAACAATTTACTGTACCTACAGGCAGGGGCGGACTGACCATTTAGCTACTCGGGCACTGCCCAAGGGCTTGGGGTCAGTAGGGGGCCCTATGAGATGCCCCTTGTACCTTTCATAGGCTTTTTTGGGTGTGGCTTGAGTGTGGGTGAGGACGCAGGGGCCCCATGATTTCCTATTGCCAGCGGCCCCATGAGTTGTCAGTCCGCCCCTGCCTACAGGTAAACATTATTATACAGTAGGCTTAGCTTTAGATACAAGTTCAAAAGTGGGGTTTACTACCGCTTTACCAAGCCGAGCAGGGTTTTGTATTCTTCCAGCATTGAAGTCCTCTCAGCATTTGGTCACTTGACATTTCAGAGCTACAAAGAAAGTCGTGCTGGAAGAACTCAGTCTGACAAGCGCCGTAAATGCAGGTCTGAACAGGTACCCACACAACACCTAGACTGAGGTCTGAATGGTGAAGTATCTTTACTGAAAGCCTTTAGCCCTCAAGTGTCAAACTGGCGGCCCTCCAGCTGTTGCCAAACTACAAGTCCCATGAGGCATTGCAAGATTGACAGTTACAAGCATGACTCCCAAAGGTAGAGGCATGATGGGACTTGTAGTTTTGCAACAGCTGGAGGACCGCCAGTCTGATACCCCTGCGCTTTAGCCCTACATATCTTATCAGTGCTAGCTTAGGGGAAACATTCCTACTGACCTCTAATCCAGTCCTCCAGGCTTTGAATACCCTCTCATGTGCAAGATAAATTAAAAACAGGATTTGGACTCACACATGATGGGAAGATGGAAGTTAAAGTGATTGCAAAGGCACTATTTTATTTAAAATAAATAAAAGATGTCATACTTACCTGCTCTGTACAATGTTATTGTATAAAGTGGTCCCTTACCTCTTCTGGAGTCCTTCGTCAGCACTCTCTGCCTCTTCGTTTTACGAGTGCTCCGTCAGTAAGCCATGTGCTATGGGGGAATCCACATAGGCCCATTCCTAAACTGGGCTGTGTGCATCCATAGACACACACAGCACAGCTCAGCAATGTCCCCCCTGAGCCCTTCTCACATGATTTGACTGACATGCAGCAGGAGCCAATGGCTTTCCTGCTGCCAGGAACAGAAAGAGCGGTGATGAGCCAGGGACAGTACTGGATCAGTGAGGGGAGGCAGGTAAGCACTTTGGGGGGGGGGACGACAGGCAGTGGGGCATTTATTGCTTTATTGCATAGAATGCATTAAGGCAAAAAAAAACACTTAGGCTTTAGAACAGGGTTTCTCCACCAGGGTTCCTCCAGAGGCTGCTAGGGGTTCCTTGAGCAATTAACAATTTATGCCTATGAGGTAAGTTCCCACTGACACTATTGATCATTTTAGCAATCTGAAAGGGGGTAATTCTTCCCAATGATGACAAGTGCCTCATCACTTGTGTTAGTGGGAGGAATAGTACCCCATCATTGGTATTAGTGAGATGAATAATGTACCCCCATCATTGATGACAGTGGGAGTAGTGCCCCATCATTGGTGTCAATGGGGGAAATAGTGCCCCATCATTGGTATTGGATGGAGGAATAGTACCCCATCATTGGTATTAGTGAGATGAATAATGCCCCATCATTGATGACAGTGGGAGTAGTGCCCCATCATTGGTGTCAATGGGGGAAATAGTGCCCCATCATTGGTATTGGATGGAGGAATAGTGCCCCATCATTGGTATTGGTTGGAGGAATAGTGCCCCATCATTGGTATTGGTTGGAGGAATAGTGCCCCATCATTGGTGACAGGGGGATGAATAGTGCCCCATCACTGGTGTCAGTTGGAGGAATAATGCCCCATCATTGGTATTGGTTGGAGGAATAGTGCCCCATCATTGGTATTGGTTGGAGGAATAGTGCCCCATCATTGGTATTGGTTGGAGGAATAGTGCCCCATCATTGGTGACAGTGGGAGGAATAGTGCCCCATCATTGGTGACAGTGGGATGAATAGTGCCCCATCACTGGTGTCAGTGGGATGAATAGTGCCCCATCACTGGTGCCAGTGGGAGGAATAGTGCCCCATCACTGGTGACAGTGGGATGAATAGTGCCCCATGAATGGTATTAGTTAGAGGAATAGTGCCTAATTGTTTCTTACTGGGAAAAATTGTGCCCCATCATTGGTTTTAATGGAAAAAAATGCCCCATTGTTGGTGTCAGTGGGAGTTATAGTACCCTGAGGGCCATATAGAGGCAAACAAAGGGCTGCATTCGGCCCACGGGCCACAGTTTGGAGACCACTGCCTTTAGTTAATGAACCCTATAGATGTGCATTGTGAAAAGATGTGGTAAAGCTCAAGGAGTAATTCAACTTTGTTAGAACAAATAAAAACCCAATATAGCATATTAAGCCATGATGTAATTTAGAGCAGTATTAAACCTGAAACCAAAAATGTAATATATGGCAACTTACCAATCATTAGATATGGTGGCTGCATCAGTTTTTTAAGCTTTTTTTTTTCCCTTTGCTTTCACCTGGTGATCTGGCAAGTAATACATTAGAGTACCTCCACTCTGGATGAAGGAGCACAGGGGACAACTATGGACAGCAGCTTTTTAAGTCTGGGCAGGAAGAGTGTTAGATGTACTGGTAGATTTAAATACACAAACAAATTGAAGCCAAACTCCGGTAATACTTTATACAGCTCTTTCCTTTTGGGATAAAGGTTTTCCACAAATAAAGCAAAGCTGATCATTGTTTCAGAGCTTGTTCTGTTGAAAATCAACAGACTTACCGGTCAGATCACCAGTTGAAAATAGAAGACAGAAAGCCTTAAAAAGAAAACTAATGCAGCCATCACATCTAAGAATTGGTAATCTGCAATATAATCAATATTTGCTTTCGGGTTTAATTCCTTAATTTACTTTTCAATCTGAAGCCACTGTAATTTTCTGCACAATTCAATAGAATACGGCAACCTGGAGGTGTACTCTATATACAATCTTTATTTACTAATATGTCTATTCTCTACATTATTTATAACCCTATATATTATTTATAACTTTTATAACTTTGTATATATCAGTGACCAAATAATATACAGTATGGAAATGTATTAGACAAATATTTGTCAAAAAAAATCTTTTATCAGTTTAATTTTAAAATATGTACAAAAAAAGATTTTTGATATTTTTACCATAAGACGTTTTTATTGTTGTGAAAAATTGATCACCAAAAACATATAAAACACATAGAATATAAATATATATTTAAACTGTACACACTCTGCACAGAAAGAAGGATTTTTACAAATGTCAATGCACATCTTAAAAGTAATTGGAAACTTTATACAATACCCTGATGTGAAACCAGATTCATGTTAGGTGCAGCTGTTTTGAATGATTTTGAATGTTTATCTGCAGCATCCAAGCGCAGAGCATTTCTGGAGATCCTGCAGCTTTAGGATGTTTAAAGTGTTACTATAGTTAAGAGTTCAAATCTGATATTCCATGCAGGTTGCCCATACCATTAAGGCAGCACTGTTTGGCTTCATGTACACATGAATTCCCCAGATGTTAACCACTTCATGTTCGGACACCTTCACCCCCTTCCTGTCCAGGCCAATTTTCAGCTTTCTGCGCTGTTGCACTTTGAATGATAATTGCGCGGTCATGCAACACTGTACCCATATTAATTTTTTAGCATTTTTTTGAGACAGATAAAATTTTATTTTGGTGGTATTTATTCACCACTGGGATATTTATGTTTTTATGCTATATAAATGAAAAAGTCCAAAAAGTTTGAAAAAAAAGTGTTTTTCTTATAAAATTTTGCAAATAAATAATCTTTCTTCATAAATCTTGGCCAAAATTTATTCAGTTATCTTTTTAGTGAAAAAAATAACCCAAATGAGCTTATAACCAAAAATTATAATTTTTAAACCAATTTGTTTTACAGTTTTTATTTTATTCTTTTATATTATTATTTATGGGGTTTTTTTTAACATACTGTCACCATAGTGACACTGTACTACTTGACGAGGGTGATGAAGATTTTTTTTTTTGTTCTTTTTACATTGATTGCTTTTACAGCCTTTACAGGTGTAAAAGCAATCATTTCTCCTTCTCTCTGGCTGCATTCTTGCAGCCTTTGAGAAATACTGTGTGAGTTGTGATTGGTCACAGCTTGTCACATGGTACAAGGATGTTGTGAATAGCCTTGTACCATGTGATCTCTTTGATCATTCACAGATTTCCCATGTAGTACGCAATGATGTCAGACGTGACATCTTGCTTACACCTATTCATGTGATCACTGATTGGCCAATCAGTGATCACATGATTGGGACCTCGCACAGAGGTCCCATACAGCGATCGGTGTTCCACTGTGTCCGGAGGACACAGCAGGCACCGGATCATGGTGCCGCGCACTCCCAGGGAGCATGCACAATCCAAAATGGCGTGCGCCGTTTATGAACGGCAACCCACCACTGGACTGCCACCGTCCGGCCATTCATATACAGTGGCGGGATGGGAAGTGGTTAAGTTCCCCTGGCAGCAGAAAAATGCTAAATGCGGCAATCATGTTTAAACGCAGTACCACGTTTACCTGCGTTTAGCACTTGGACATTTATTCATTTGATTGGCCAGAGTATTTTCCATTGACATGGAAAACGTTTAGCTGCGTTTACAGCGTTTTTGCCACGTTTAGCGTTTTTTTGGCCAAAACGTTCCTCTCCTGATTGCGATTCTTCTGCTTTCAGGAGATAAACATTTAACTGCCCCTAAACTCTGCTGCTCCTAAACTCTGGTAAAAGCCAATGTGGACATGGACATATAGGCTTTTATTGAGTTCAGTTCAGGGGCTTTGGCAAAAAAAACGCCAAAAGCTTCTAAACTCACGTTAAGGAGCAGCAGTGTACATGAGACCTTTGGGTTTTAACCATTCCCCTGTGGCATAGTCTTTGTGTCTGATGATCCTGCCAGCAAATCCATAATGTCCTATTTCCTTCATCAGTGAATTTACTGCAGTGTTGCCAACCAATACCGCCATGGTGCAGTACGCCATCCCCTGCCATGGCCTTTAGTGGTTGACAGCACACAGCTCCAGTCCGCCCGGATTGTACAGATGTGTTGAATAGTTTGATTGTAGGTAGAATATTTTGGACCCAGAAACAGTGAATTGCTGGTATTTACATGTTTGCTTTTCCTTTACACCTCTTATGAAAACTCAATAAAAGCATTGAAATGTAGAAATTGTCATTTTTTAATTTTTTTCCAG